ATGGAACATTAATCTCTGAAGGGGCGCTCAGCAAAAAGTTTTTCGCAACCTGTCCTACATGATGCTCAGCAAATTACTTAAGCCGAAGTAACTTGCAAGTTTGTCAGGTGGCCACTGACTGTGTAGTTCTCATTTTCTGGGTGTCTAACCTGAGACTGTGGGACATGATACTCTGGAGTTCTAATCACTCATAACTGAAATTAACTTTAATGGGAGCTGTGGCTGATCAGCACCTCTAAGGGAATGTGCTCTGGATAATAATTACAGGATTGGGAATCATGAGGGTCCCGAGTTTTAATCTGGCTCTGCCATTCATTATTTGGCCTGGGGCCCCTCTCTCTTTGGGTCAGTTTCCTCCTTTGTAAAATGGGGCTGGTACTCTTATCTCGCAGTGTGAGTAAATTAATCATGAGGTACTTGGATACTATGGTGATGAGTGCTCTGGAAAAGAACATGAAGTGAATAATTCTGTGTTCATTCATGTGCAAAGAGGCAGAATTAAGGTTACACAGGCAACCTAAATTCTGGTATTTGCTAACTCTTGAGTGCTTGATTTTTGCCTCCTAAACAATTTTCTTTGAACATAATTGGGGTTTTTGTTATAAATGAGTATGGCAGGAGAGGAAAAGGACTATTTATAATCTCCTCAGTTACTTAACAGGTCTTGTGCGTATCGTGATGTTTCCATTAAGTTGTGGACAGTTATTTTAATTCACTTTGGCGGAGTGTGTTTTTTAAAAAAAGTATTAGAATGAGGTAGTGGCTTGGAAAAGTTTATAGAGGCCATCAAGGAGAGGGGGCAGTCTGAGCAGTGGGGGCAAAAGGGTGAAGTTCTGTAATCAAAGAGTTAGGGAATTTGAGGTGCTGCTTTACAGGAAATAAAGAAAAATTACTATTGGTGTCACAGTCCCAATACCTGTCCCAATCTAAAAGCTATCTTGCCATTACTGGCATAATGGTATTTACTCCATGTACACAGTGTTGTTGTAGCTGTGTTGGTCCCAGAATATTAGAGAGACTGGGTGGGTGAGGCAATATATTTTATTGGAGCAACTTCTGTTGGTGAGAGACAAGCTTTCTTTAAATTTTTACTCTACTGAGTCTTAGGATTGTGATAACAGCAGTTGCAATTTAGAATTAAAGTACAGTGTCACAACTGTGTGCAGAAGCTTGCAGATGGTTTAGTTAGCTCTAGCTCATGTTAGTAGTTCCTCACTTTCACAAACACTGCATTTACATGAACACAGGTTAAAAGAATATAAAAACTCTTCTGTTACCTTTCTTTTGTTAAAACAATTTTATTTCAGGTCCTAACTGAAACAATGAAGTCTGTAGGGTTGTTTGACTTGATTCAGATATTGTTCTTTTCATGGGTGTGTTCATCAGCTGCATCCCCTTGGTTTGCTTAAAAATACACAGCCGACCTTGTCTTAACGTAAAAAAGGAAGCTCAGTTTTGTTTTTAGAGATTGTGAAATCCACATAATATAGCAAAATCATTGTAATACATGTAAATGTTTTTCATTTACTTACTGCTCTAGGAAATTTGCAACATAGCTTTTCAAAAAGTTCAGTAAAATTTTATTTTGGGATCAGACTTGGTGAAATGGTTTGTAAACATCAAGCTAGTTCTTGAACCTCCTGCTTTGTTTCAAAACAGGCTTGTATGCTAACAAGCTAAAGCAAATCTATCTTTAAAAGGATGCCAGGAGCACCTTTAAATACTGTAATAAGCATGAAATTAGCTTTTATATACTCGTGTGTGCACAATAGTGTTAATAATATTAATAATGAGCATTATAGTAAAAATCAATGCGTGGTTTCCTTTCTAATTCCTCCTTTTTACGTTGCTCACCTTTCTCAAGCCAATTATTTTGTGGCTGAAGCTTTCCATGTTTGGTAAAAACCCAAATAAATATTTGTTTGGAAATTTATAGTTAAGCTAGTTCCAGCCGTCTTGGAGTTCCGAGACTGAAATCTATGTGCAATACATAGTATGGGGAAAAAATACAAGTAAATATATCTAGGCACATTTGGGTAGAAATAGTATTCTTATGCTTGACAATGTTAATAGGTATCAAGTGGGTCTTTGACCGGCTATCCCTAAGGTACTGGGTCACAATCGAGCTGAGTAGAATTAAGCCATGTGGTCTGAGAAGTTTCCTTTGGACCTGTTGCAAACACAAGCTAGGGGATTGATTGGTTGCAGCTGTGTCTCTCTCTGTGGCCTGATCTGCACTTAAACAGTGCTCAATCAGAAAACAAAAAATTTAAAAGAAATTAGATAAGTTCAAGGTGATGGTTTCCTTTTAAACACAGTGTTCTATTTCCACAGTCTAAGATGGCTTGATTTTAGGCCATATTTCATGGACATTCTATGTTTTATTAGTTGATAAAGTATAAATTGCAGATTAAACAATATTTGTCAACTTATTCAAATGTTGCTATTTTACTGTAGAGAGCACCCACAATGTGCTAGACACTAAGCACGGTAAAGAAAGCATGTTCCATGCCCAGAACAGTTTGTAGTCACATTTTCTCTCTCAATTATTTTCTTTCCTCTAATGTCTTCTAAAATTTTCCTTGATTACATGCATTTTTGCTTTATTTTTTTCTTGCATTAGGGGAAATTATTATTTTATGTAAAAGAAAATGTTTGCCAAATGGAATATTACACAGTGATATAAGATTGCTTAATTTGTACCAGGGCTTGCAAGGACTGAGCCCCGTCATATCTAAGCTTGGCAGTTCATACCCACGCACCTCTGGGCTTGCTGTATCAGTTATGAATGTAAAATAAATTGCTTGAGCTCCAGCACCTCTTTCATTACAAATTAAGCACTGAATAAAGAGTCTCCACGGATCTTATTTCTTTACCTGTTTGTTTATAATTTTCCACTGTCTCTGTGAGCGCTTGCTTTTAATTGCATTTCTTTCTTTTCTTTTTTTTTTTCTTTTTTGTTTCAGAATAACAGAATCCCCAAACAAAGTGAGACACAGCTAACTGAGCAAGTACAGGGGAATCTGGGCCTGGTCTACGTACAAATTTTGTACTAGTTTACCTACTTTAATTAGGAATGTGCTTCTCTTTATTTTGGTTTTTTAAAAAAAGGTATACCAGTACAACCCCTTAGGCTGCCACTTTCAGTGCTAAAACTTTAGTCGTTCAGGGGTGTAAAAAAACCCAACCCCCTGAGCGACAAAAGTTTTAGTGCTGAAAAGCGCCAGTATAGACAGTGCTGGCGATAAAGCTACCACCCCCTCATTCAGGGTGGTTATTTTTTTTATCACCGGGAGAGCTGTCCCCCGGAGATAAAGCGTGACTACGCTGCCCACGTTACAGTGCGGCTGCAGCAGTGCTGTGAGGAATAGGGAGGAGATTTATATACACACAGAACATGAAAAAATGGGTGTTATTGTACACACTGTAAGGAGAGTGATCACTTAAGATGAGCTATTACTGGATACAATTAATTTAGGCTTGACTAGAGACTGGGAGTGGATGGGTCATTACACAAAGTAAAACTATTTCCCCATGTTTATTCCCCCCCCCCCCCAAACACTGTTCCTCACACGTTCTTGTTAACTGCTGGATGGCCCACCTTGATTATCACTACAAAAGGTTCCGCTCTCCTGCTGGTAGTAGCTCACCTTACCTGATCACTCTCGTTACAGTGTGTATGGTAACACCATTGTTTCATGTTCTCTGTGTATATAAATCTCCCCACTGTATTTTCCACTGAATGCATCCGACGAAGTGAGCTGTAGCTCACGAAAGCTTATGCTCAAATCAATTTGTTAGTCTCTAAGGTGTCACAAGTCCTCCTTTTCTTTTTGCGGATACAGATTAACACAGCTGCTACTCTGAAACCTGCCTGAAAGTGTTTCTTTTCTGAATGGGGATCTGCTGCTCTATTAAGCTTGGAACTGATATGTTTTACCCCTTTTCCGAGTCCCTTTCCTTCCACCACTACTGCAGTGACTCAGCATCTGCATTTCACATCTTCTATAGGTGAACCTGGTGAATTGTAATGATGTTGCTGCCTAGACTTTATATATAGCACGTGCATGCTCTCTCTTTCCCTCTCCCGCCCTCCCGGAAACCAGAAGTAGATCTTGAAAATCTCAGCTTGGTCACTCTCCTCTTCCCTGCCCCTATGCCCTCCCAAAAGAGGCTTGATTATGCAATACTATGTTTTGGGGGGATTTTCTTCTTAACTTCAGGCAGTTAATGGAGGCTTAAGTCTTGCAGCATGAATGTTGATTTTCAGTATATTTTTTTTTTGCCCTAGCTGGTATAATTTTCTTGTGCATAATAATGCACAATTCTTTTTTGAATCCTAAGCTTGTTGCCTTAATGTCTTTTGTCAGTGAATTCTGCTGACTACCACATGCTTACAAAAAACATGTTTTTATTAATTAAGAGATCATACTTAGTATTCATCATACAGCCTTGATTTTGCCGTTTCCTGATTTTTTGATTGCTTCACTTTTGCAATCTTAACATTTGTTAGAATGTAGTTTTAATTTCCTGGTTTTTTTGTTTTTAAAAGAAGAAATTCTATCATTTGGAATGCAGCTAGAAAACAGTAAAATGTTGTTTAATGTAGGCTTTTTTTATTCAAGGAGGCGAGTGTGCCAGTGTGACAGGTTTCAGTCAGTCCTCCGAGCCCCTAGGGGCGATGGAGAGCTATGATCCCACTGGCAGGTCTCAGTCACACCTTTCGGGTGCTGGGGAATTAGTGGGGAAGGTGTGCCGGCACGAGTCTGCAGCGCGCCCCTCAGGCAGGGGAGCGCCGGCACGAGTCTGCAGCGCGCCCCTCAGGCAGGCTAGCCGGGGTAGGGGAACTCAGGCCCACCCGACTCCGCTGCGTTCCAGCCCCTGGGCCTGGTCAGTGGCAGGAGGCGAAGGTCCTGCCGCTGGGTCAGCGGGGCCATCCGTGCCCGCTGACCAAACACACCCACCCCACGGTGCAATTCTGCCCCTGGGCTACTTCCTACCCGGTCTCTCCGGCGGGTCTCTCTGGTCCCTCCAGCTCGTCCGAGTATTCCGCTGCTGGCAGCTCCAGCTCCCCCTCTGTGTCGGACTCACACCGGCCCGGGCTGCAGCCGGGCATTCAGCGGCTGGCAGTCCTGGTTGCCACAGGCCTTCCTCCCGGTCCGGGTCCTCCTTGCCCAGGGCCTCACCTGGGTCAGCAGCAGGATCGCGAGGGAGCAGCCTGCATCTGTCTCCCTCCCTGGTGCTCTCCTCACTAGGCAAAGAGCCCCACCCTTTGTACTTCCTGTCCCACCCCTCCCCTTCCAGGGATTGGCGGAAGCTTGGCCTGGCCCCGCCCACTCAGGCTGAGAGGGTGGCTCTTTACCTTCTGGTTCGGAGGGGAGCCACCCTGGCTCCCTACAGCCAGTGACTGCATTGAATGGAGAGGGAAGGCTCCCATTTTATATGTGCTCTGTTGAGGAAAATTTTATTACTCTGCATGCATGAAGTATATTTCTTTAAAGCCCTATAACTTTGCTAAGTCAGAACAGATTTTCACTTGATCACTGTATAGGGTTGCCAACCCTCCAGGATTGTCCTGGAGTCTCCAGGAATTAAAGATTAATCTTTAATTAAAGATTATGTCATGTGATGAAATCTCCAGGAATATGTCTAATCAAAATTGGCAGCCTTGCCACTGCAAGGTACATGTATGACATAAGGACAATCTCTGTGCAAAATTTCTAACTTCTACTCCAAATTAAAACTGTTTTTAAGACACTTTTTAAATAATAGCAAATATGTGTTGTTTTTTATTTTACCCTCTTCATAATCAAATTGTGGAACTGTTTATGGTCTAAATTAATAATTCACCCTCAAGTGGACATCATTATCATACAGGGTGAAAATTTTGACAAAGAAGCAATTAAAAAGGCCCTGTAGAGTGAAAATTCTTAGGCAATCTTAACGGTAGCAATTGCTGTGTGATCCAACTTGTAATGAGTGCAATACATTCCTCCAGTGGGAGAGCCATGGAATAAGTAGGATTTTGAACAGTGAAACTAGCCCCTAGCTCAGTAGAGTAACTGCTGATATGCCAGTTCCCATATACGTTTGTGGCACAACCGATTTCTTTCCCAGCTGCAGATTAGTTTCAAAAGAACGGTATTGATAAGTCTTCCTCTCTCCCTCCATGTTCCAAATTCCAAGCAACCTCATGAACACTGCTGGAGAGTTGCTTTTCTCCTTTGGCAGTCAGAACATTTTTTGTATAAATGTGAACGCAGTCATATGTAGAAGTTGTTAGTATGCTGTATGCATACCTGTGATATTCTGGCTCTATTCTAGTGCTGTTCTGTGCAGGAAGAGAGCCAGTAGCCAGGAGAAATGTTGTTTTTAATTACATAAACCATCCCATAAAATTTCCATTTGTCTTGCTAGCAGCATTTGTAATTTTTTCACACTCCTGCATATGTATGTTTGGGATGTTTATTGTGACTTGTATTTGAAACCGCAGAGGACAATTATGTGGCAGGGGCAGTATAATGAGTAAAGTTTTGGGGCAGGGCCAGTGCAAGACTTGATACGTTTTCATTTGGGCAAAAATAAATTGAGAATTCCATGAATGATTGAATTAAATGTGTGTTGTCTTTTTTTAAATATCCATTCCTGTGCGTGGTCAGGACGTTGCACTCAGGCTTGTCTGTCTTAAGCTAAATAAACTAATATGCTGTGCACATTCTGTACTCCGTTTAAAATGTCTTAAATTTATTTTGAGGCTAAGTTTCTTCAAAAAGGGTAAAGTCAATAATTTCTCATTCAATTGCTATTCTTATCTGTCAAACTTGATTCTTTTTGACTTGGGGAAAAAAATGATGTTGGTACAAAAAGCAACTCAAAAATACCTTCGTAGTTTTTCTATAAGATACAAGGGGTCTGTGATGTTAGTGTATTAAGCCTCTCAATACCACTTTGAGGTAAGGTAAGTATTATTCCATGCTTTACAGATGGAGGAAACTGTTTAGATGAAACTGAGGGACAGGAGGTTCAATGACTTGTACAAAAGTCTCAGCAATTATTTGGCAGAACTGAGAATAAAATCCAAGTCCCCTGACTCCCAATTGTGTACCTTAGACACAAAGCCATTTTTTTTCTTTGTCATAACAGGTGATTAAAAAAAAAGTAACTCACAATAGGCGTGACAATTTCAGACTAGACTTTTTTTTGTTATGAAAATTGATTTTCAATAAGTCTTGGAACACTGGAGAAGTTCCAGAAGACTGATAATTTTGTACCAGTATTTAAAAAGGTTAAAGAGCATGACGTGTGCTAGTTATAGGTCTGTCAGTCTGACATCAATCCCAGGGAAGATAATGGAGTGGTTGTGATAGGACTTGATTAATAAAGAATTAATTAATGCCATTCAGCATGTGTTTATGACAAATAGATCCTTTCAAACTAATTTTCTTTTTCTGATGAGATTACAAGTTTGGTTGATAAAGGTGATAGTGTTGATTGATGTAACATATTTTTTGACTTCTGCAAGGCATTTGACTTGGTACTAAAAGAATGGGTGTGTTTCTAATACTGTCCCAGAGGGACTGGTTCTTGGACCTATGCTAGTTAACATTTTTATCAATGACTGAAAGAAAATATAAAATCATCTCTGATAAAGTTTGCAGATGACACACAAATTGGAGGAGTGGTAAATTAATGAAAAGGACAGGCCACTGATACAGCACGATCTGGGTCACATGGTAAGCTGGACAGAAGCAAACAAATATTTGTTTTATTACAGCTAAATTTACATATGTAGGAACAAAATGTCCTGGGAGCCCATGACTCTGAAAAAGATTTGGCAATGGTGATGGATATCAATTGAATATGAGCTCTCAGTGCGATGCTGTGGCCAAAAGAGATAATGTGATCTTGGATGCTTAAACAGGAATATCTTGAATCGGAGTAAAGAGGTTATTTTACCTCTGTATTTGGCATTGGTGGAACTGGTGCTGTAATACTGTGTCCAGTTCAGGTTCCCACAGTTCAAGAAGGATAGTGATCTGTTACAGAGGGTTCAGAGAAGAGCCATGAGAATCATTAAAGGATTAGAAAACATGCCTTATAGTGATAAAGTGAAGGAGTGCAATCTATTTAGCTTAACAGAGAGAGGATTAAAGGGAGGCTTGATTAGTCTACAAGTATCTGTATGGGGAAGATATTTTATGATGGTCTCTTCAGTCTAACAGAGAAAGGTTTGACAGGATCCAATGTCTGGTATTTGAAGCCAGACAAATTGACTGGAAATTTAGTAAATTTTTAATAGTGAGAGTAATTAACCGTTGGAACAGGTTACCAAGGGTCATAGTAGATTCTCCATCAATGACAATGTTTAAACCAGATTGGATGTTTTTCTAAAAAATATGCTATAGAAATTATTTTGAGGAAGTTCTGTGGCCTGTATTATCAAGTTGATCACAATGATTATCTGTATGATCACAAAGGTCCCTTCTGATCTTAGAACCTACAAATAAAACTGGTTTGTGGCTTTTGACATGCAACATGCCTTCTTTCACATATCTATTCACCTGTATGCAGTGTTGTTGTAGCCATCTTGGCCCCAGGACATTAGAGAGACAGGTGGGTAAGGTAATATTTTCTACTGGACCAACTTCTGTAAGAATTCTGTGTAGCTTGAAAGCTTTCATTGCTCACCAACAAAAGTTGGTCCGATTGAAAAATATTACTCCACCCACTTTGTCTCTCTAATTTTGTCACTTAACTTACAGAAAATACCTGAGATTCCTAGTGGGAGCATCTCACTATTACAAGTACAGTGTTTCTTCATCTAAACTTTTTTGAGACTTATGCATTCGGTTAACTTATTTTCTCTGCTTTTGCACCACCTTCTACTTCTAGGCAGAACTGAAAGAGAGAATGTGCTGAAATACCATGAGAATAACCTTTGTCATGGTTATTGTGGTTCAAGCAGAAACAGGAAGTACTCTATCTTATGTGAAGTTCCTGTTCTCTTGATCTGTTCATGCCATTTTGCAAATCAGATGTTTGAGTAAGCATCTTAACCAAACCTTTTGAAATTTTCCCATCTCTAAGTGGCTGACATTGTTACTGAGCTGCCACAAAACAGTAATTAACATATGTTAATAAACTAGTGGTCTCAACCTGAGCTCCTTGTCCACATGTAAAAGCATTGTCTCCTTATACTCTTCAACTCCATTTTTATCCCATGGTCATGTAGGTGTTTCCCACGCGTCTGAAGGACATCACCCCTCCATAGAACACATTTTAGATGTTCAGCAGCATGCAGGAGGCGCTGGAGGGGGAAGGAGAGGAGCAGGGGCAGGAAGAGGTGGAGGGAAAGAGGGGTGCACTTTGGGGAGGGGGCAGAGCGGGAGCAGAAAGAGGCAGTGCTGGGTGGGACCTTGGGTGAAGGGGTGGAGCGGGGTGGGGCTAGGGTACAGCGGGGGTCGAGCACCCCTGGGAACTCAAAGTCAGTGCCTCTGGTTCCGAACATTTCAGACCCTTTTATTCTAGAACAGGGTTTGAGACCTAATCATGTGAGGTGACTTCATTGCTGTCTTGGAGGAGAAAATCACAAATTAAAGAAGAGGCATGGGGCAGAGAGTGAACTAAGAAAGTTACCTTGGAAGAAAGTCAAGCAATTAGGTTTGAATGTTGGATGATCTCTGGGGGGAAAATTGCAAAAAGTGTTTGTAGGTCAACTGCATTACTGGTGCAGGTAACACCCAATTTTACTTAACATATTAAATTTACCCAGCTTTCAATTTCTGCTGCTGTTCAGGTACATGTTGAAATATTGACTCTAGAGGACTGGAGAAGGGCAAGCTTAATGCCTGTCTTTAAAAGGGGAACAAAGTGGACCTGGGGAATTATAGCCTGATACCTGGAAAGATACTTGAACAATTACTAAACAATCAATTTGTAAGCACCTAGAAAATAGTAGGTAGGTAGATAGATAATGGCCAACGATTTGTCAAGAATAAATCATGCAAATTTCCTTCTTTGACAGATTTATTGGCCTACTGCAGAGGTCCCCAAAGTGTGAGGTGTGCCCCCCTTGGGGGATGTGGAGGAACATCTGGGGGACATGGCGGGGCATGGGCCAGTCCCCACGGGGGCAGAGAAGGAGCGCTCCCTGCCCCCAGCTCTGCTCTGGTCCCATCCCCAGATCTATTCTGATCCTGCTCCCAGCTGTGTCCCCGGCTCCGGTTCCTGTCCCTAACCTCGGCATGACTCTGCTCCTGGCCTGGGGCCGAGGCTTGGGGCAAGGCTGGGAACAGAGCCTCACCTTGCTGCAGGCCCAGCTGCTCGCTCCGCTCTTGCCCTCAGCCTCGACCCCATTCCCAGACCCACTCCCTGCTGCAGTCCCAGCCTCGGCCCTCCTTACCCCAGTACATGTCCCCTGTCCCCGTCCCCACACAATCACGGCCCCGCTCCTGGCCCCAGCTCTAGGGGTGGGGAAGGGGGCACAGATGGGTAAAGGGGGTGTGACCCTCTAAAGTTTGGGGACTGCTGGCCTCATGGATAGGGGGAAGCAGTAATGTGTTTTATCTTGATTTTCATAAGGCTTGTGACACAATTCCACATGATGTTTTCCTAAACTAGGGAAATGTAGTCTAGATGAAATTACTATAAGGTACCCACCCTAACTGGTTGAAAAACAGAACTCAAAAAGTAATTGTCAATGGTTTGCTATCAGACTGCAAGGGCATATCTAATGTGGCGCTGCAGGGGTCTGTTCTGGGGCTGGTACAGTTAAATATTTTCATTAATGACTTGGATATTGAGGTGGAGAGTATGCTTCTAAAATTTACAGATGACACCCAGCCTGGAGGGGTTGCAAGCACTTTGGAGGGCTGGATTAGAATTCAAAACAATCCTGATAAATTAGAGAATTGGTCTGAATTCAATAAAATAAAATAAAATTAAGTGAAGTGCAAAGTACTTCACTTGGGAAGGAAAAATCAAATGCACAACTACAAAATGGAGAGCTGCCTAAGCAGTAATACGGCTGACTAGGATCTGGGGGTTATAATAGATCTTCACCTGTTGAATATGAGGAAACACTTGATGTGGTTTCCAAAAAGGCTAATATCTTGCTGAGACACAAGGTGGGTGAGGTAGTATCTTTTATTGAACCAACTTCTGTTAATGAGAGAGACAAGCTTTAGCGCTTACAGAGCTCTTCTTTAGGTCTTCGGTATCGTTCTGAGCTGTATTAACAGGAGTGTTGAATGCAAGACATGGGAAGTAGTTGTTCATCCCAACTTGACACTAGTAAGGCCTCAGCTGGAGTATTGTGTCCAATGTTGGGCACCAGATTTTAAGAAAGATGTGGACAAATTAGTGGGAGTCCAGAGGAGAGCAACACAAATGATAAAAGTTTAGAAAACCTGACATATGAGGAAAAGTTAAAAAACTGGGTATGTTTAGTTTTGGTAAAAGAAGACAAAAGAGGGCCTTGCCAACAGTCTTCAAATATGTTAAGGACTGTTACCAAAGGGATGGTGATCAATTTTTTTCCATGTCCACTAAAGGAAGTACAAGCGGAAATCAGCTTAATCTGTAGCAAGGAACATTCAGGTTAGAAAAATTCCTTATAGTTAGAAATAGTTAAGTACTGGAACAGGCTGCTGGTTGTAGAATCCCCATAACTGGAAGTTTTTTAAGGAGAGGTTAGATAAACACTGACAGAGATGATCTAGGTGTATGTTGGCCTTCCTCAGGGTGGGTGGCTGGGTGGTAGTAGTGGTGGTAGACTAGATGACCTCTTGACACAGGCGTCAACTTTTCCTTTTTGCTGGGGGTGCTCAACCCCTGCTTTGCCATGAGGCTCTGCCCCCACTTCGCCCTTCCCCTCAATGCCCCACTCTTGCCCCGCCTCTTCCTGCCCCCATTCCAGTCCCTCCCCAAGGTTCCTGCTCAACCACCTCTCTTCACCCTCCCCTAAGTCCCTCCCTGAGCCGCCAAACAGCTGTTTGGCAGCAGCACCCCCTGTCAGCTTCTTTGGCGGCGGCGCGGTCCCCATCAGCTGCTGGGCAGTGGCGGCGGTGCCCCTGCCATCAGCTGATGAGCGGGGACAAGGAACAGCTATGGCTGGTGGGTGCTGAGCATCTACTATTTTTTCCATGGGTGCTCCAGCCTGGAGCACCCATAGAATTGAGCCTATGCTTCTTGAGGTCTCTTCCAGTGCTGTATTTCTATGATTCTGTTTTTACCATATGCTTCCATGTTGTTTCCATTAAAACAAAACTATTACAATCTGTTCTTACATCATATAATTGAAAGCTTGAATCAATCTCTTATTCTTAATAACAATCCTGTATTTTCTGCAGCCTGGGTGAGTTCCCTGTCCATGGGAATGATTTTCTTCTGCTCTCCCATAGTCAGTGTATTCACAGACATATTTGGTTGTCGAATAATAGCCGTTGTTGGAGCTGCAGTGGGGCTTGTTGGACTTCTTTTAAGCTCTTTTGTAAGGTAAGAGTTCTGCTTTCTTTTGATAATTATATTTATAGCTATATATAACTATATCTTGCTATAGTCACTGTCATAAATGAATATTTTGTACTCAGTCATATGTAACCTGTGTCGATTCAGTGTATTGCTTGTCCTCCTCAAGTAGTGGCTATGCTAAACAGAGGTTCACGAGTCTGCTGCTGGCTTTGAACCAGCAGAGCTGTACCTTTTAGGTCATACAATAGAGGCTCATGCTTTAAGATCCAGAGGTCCCAATTTCACTTCTCACTGCCAATGACCCAACTAGAGCCATAGCATTATATATGCACAGTCTGTAATGTTTATTAACTCTACTAGCAGGGTGCAAGGCAACTTATTTTGTTCTTTCATAAAACTACATTGTTTGACATTATCAGACATAAATCTTCCTCCTTTTACATGGTTAAATTTGTAAATACTACCAAATAAATTAAAGCAATGTTATTGAAACATTTAAGTAAATTAAAAAAGCCTGGAAACTTTTGTTTTAAGGTTCTGCAATTAACTTTAACTCTTATCCTGTATCAACTCATCCTATATCCAGAAACTTCCTTTCTCTCAACCATCAAGTCTAATCTATAATTTTTCTAACTCCAAAACCTTACCTCATATGTTAAATATAACAGATCCAAGTAACTCCTCATTTCAGCCACAGACCCTCCCTCAGACTACCTGATGTTTGTGGCAAAACATGTGACTATCTTTACCAGTATAGACCTTTTAATACTTATACAGTACTTTTCATATTAAACATTTTACCAACATTAACATATAGTACAGAAGCAATTCTGTTCCCTATCATTCCTGTGTGAAAGGGTTAACCAATTCTACTCCATCCACCCTCTGTGGCTCTAGAAAGCTCACTGTATTTACATCATCCATTTTCCCTTTGACTCGAAGACCTTCTCTCCCCCAACCACCCACACACATACTTTTATCCCTCCTCACATTGCTTGCTGATGCCAGAATGACATGATCGCCAGAATGACATGATCACCAGAATATGCTGAGGCACATACATAGAATCTATTAGTTTTTCACTCCTACGCAGTGTAGTTGTAACTGTGTCTGTCCCAGTATATTGTCTCTCAGAGAGACAAGGTGGGTGAGGACAGTAATATTATTGGTCCAATAAAAGAGATTACCTCACCTACCTGGTCTCTTTTTCACTTGTTAACAGAGACGAAAAGTTTGTAGAGTTGTAATATTTACACCAGTTCTTCATTAAATGAAGGTGAAGGGAATACACACAGTCAGTTAAGGTTGTTTTTAGAAACTGAGGGCTGCTGTCAACTTAAAAATTACATTTAAAATAAATTTTTATTTTCTATTGAAAACCCTTCAGAAATATCAGTGAAATTTGTTTCCAAATTGGATTTATTTTTCTAAAGTTTTACAACGTGTTTTCATACAATGAATTGCAAGAAACTGAAGAGCATTTGGCACATGGTATTTGTTATGTAAATTAGCACAAGCATATCTTGTATCATGTTCGTGAATTGGAATGGAACCTGTATGTACTCAGGGTCTCCTTAATCTCCACACATGGTGCCCCTCACAATACTGTATGGTGCTCCAACAAACCAGTCATGAAGGACTTCTCTTCTGCAGAAGGGGCCTTTGATTCACTCTGAATCTCATTCCCCAGAAGCAATGATACGATCTAGTGCAGCGTTTCTCAAACTTGGGTCCGTGGACCCCTGCGGTCACTGAGGGTACTCCAGGAGGTCCACGGGCCCCACTGATCACTCCCTCTATCTCCCAGAGGCTACTGAAGCCAAACCGGGAGATTTTAGGCACTAAAAGTCCAGCAGGGCTAAGGCAGGAATGTTTACTACTTTAATAACAAAAACAAAAAATCCCCTTAAGTTTAAAGTAAACAACTAAACACAGTTTCCCAAGTCAGTTAACTAATAAATTAAGCTGTCAGTGTTCCTTAAGATCCAAATGTTTAGTTTAACATATTTTATTAGATATTCTGGGGTAGATTTTCAAAGGTCTCACTCCCACTGAAAGTCAGTGGGAATGAGGTGCCTGTGGCCCATGTCTTTGTAAATCTTCCCTCAATACTGTATTAATTTGATATGTATTCCTAATCATAATTCCATTTAATTAAGCATTTTTGGGTCCAGGAATACGTTGTTACTTTCCTCTGAAACCAGATACAATTCCTATCTGTATTCCCTTGGTATCCATTGTGACTTAAAGATGGAAGAGGCAGGTGGAAGGAAGTGAATTTTGAAAGATATTGAATTAGCTTATTTGAACTTTGCTTTAATACTGTTCTTCAGTCTATAAAATGATGTATGCCTATGATCTAATAAAAAAGTAGATGAAGGTATAGTTTAGATGTAGAAAAGTACAATATGTACTTGCTCTAAAAATAAACTTCATGCAGCCATTAAATGTGGCTATGATTGTGTTACATCTGTTATTTTTAATATGAAACCTATCCATTAAGAGGCAAAGATGTAGAAAGTGTGCATGTAGGAGAAATATTTTACTCTATGTATGCTGTGTGCATTTAACTCTTTCAAAGGAATCTAATGCTGGAGATATGATTTACCATTTACAAAAGTGGTTCTGGTTTGTCATTATCAGATTATACCCTTTTCTGATGCTTATTAGTTTCTCTTTAATTATTTTCTCAGTTATTTTTCACTGATTGATGGTCATAAAAGCTAATCTGTCTTACTTGTTTACTATTTTGTCTTATTTTGCTGCTGTTGGTCCCCTTTCATACAGTATGGGTCATAAATTGATCTGCAGAGCTTAGAGCAGCAAACTTCTTATGGAGGTAGTACATTGTGCAAATATTTCCACACACACACACACTCTCCCCCCTCACCCCCATACCTCAGGTACACTATTAGTCAAAAAGAATTTTCTGAGAAGTTCTGCTGTTCCATAGAATGTTTACAGACGTATATTCTCCGGCAAGAAGGAGGTGACACAGGCAGCTTTCTGTCCAACGATGAAAAACAACTCAGTGTTTATGCACTGATTATAGTATTCGGAAAAACACTCCTAGCTACTGTTAGAATGAACCTACTAATTAGTAAAGACTTAAAATATATTTTTAACTGCTAAAATTTTGTTCAGAAATGGAACGCAACTAGGGCTGTGTACAGTGGGGTTATAGAGCTATGCAAATGGTCACATAATTTACCTGTTTTAGCCAATATGCTTCATATAGCTACAAAACTGAGTCTTCAGGTAGTGTCCCTATGGGTGCTCCATTCTAGATGTGCTTGCTTTGATCATAGATTTTTCAGAGCAATGTCTGTTCAGTCTGTGCATGTAAGTTACTCAGTCTTGTGCTCTGAGCTCTTGTGATATTGCACTACCTTGGCAAACTGTCCTCAGTTCCTTCTCAATTGCTTCGGCCTCAGACGGAGCCTTAGCAGTTGTCTGCGCTGAGTTTTACCTCAACTGTGTCCTCTTAGCTCTTTTAATAGTTAGTTTATTATAGTTGTTCTTAGTGGTATTTAGTATTTAGTACTTAGTAGTTTTAGTTGTAGTAGCTTTAAAAAACAAAACAAAACACCTTTTTATATATAGCTAATAGATAAACTCTAAGGAGGGGAGAAATTTTCTTTACTGGAAGGGTATGCCCAGTTCCCCAAGTTTCAAAGGTTGCCTGTTGTGCTGGGAGGCAATCCTGGTGAATGATGAACACTCCCAGTGCATCTGTTGCCTCAGGGAATCTCATATTTCCCAAAAGTGCCACTTCTGTCTGGCATTAAAATCTAGAGCCAGAAAAAATAGGGAGATCAAATTTCAACTTCTCATGATGGACAGCTCACTGTGACCTGCCTCTGACACTGGGCAGGGGACTTCCTCCCCCCGTACGCTGGTCTCCAGGTAAGTTCACTGCCTCCACTATCTCCACATCGTACTCCTTGAGAGCATCTAAGAGGAAGACCCAAAATTCCTCTAATAAGACTTCCAAAGACTGTCTCTCAAGTTCTCCATGGCACTGCACTGCCATAGAATGATTGGAAGAGGAGGATTCTGATGAAGATCTTTTCTCAGTCTCCCCAATATCTGTGCAATGCTCTCCTCTCCATTCATATAGAGGTTCTTTTCCAGAGGTCTCTGAGGAGATTGGTATCACTCATGAGAGATGGCTGTAACCACCATTTCACGGGTATGAACACCCATGGATGCCTCCACTCAATGCATATGCACCACCTCCTCAGTCATACTGGGATTGTTGGATGACTTATTGCCAGCAATTCTCTAGGGCCTTGAGCACCATCTGTCACAGAGATAGACAACCTTCATCACCCTCCCTCTCTAGAAAACTGGAATTTCAGGAAGAAGTCTTTGTGGAACAGAAAGCTAAGGCTGATGAAGGTGTCTCTCCACTGACCAGCATCTCTTCTTCATCCCTGGCTGAAGCAGTTATGCCACTTCCTCCATTCCTGGCAAACAGCTGCAAGTAGTTTCATGACCTTGTTAAGAGACAAGGAGGTCAAAGAATCACATCATAAGCTGCTTGACATCCTTCAGACAGCTTCATCTCCCTGCTTTGCCTTTCCTGTTAATGATGCTCTACTGGACCCTGCAAAGGTTATCTAGCACACTCCAGCCACAATTCTATCTACATGCAAGAGAGCAGATAAGAAATATTATGTTCTGTCTATGAACTCCGAATTTTTATTCTCTCATCCCTCTCCTAACTCTTTGGTGATTGATGCAGTTAACGAACATGGGAGGCAGTAAATCCGCATCCTATAACAAGGATCGTAAGTGTCTGGACCTGTTTTGTAGAAAATCATATTCATCAGCTACTTTACAATTCAGAATAGTCAACTTACCAGGCTTTAATGGCGAAATTCAATCATACAAATTACACCAAGCAGACTTCATTTATTGAGCATCTGCGAGCAGAACATAGAGAGCAATTCCAGGCAATTATTGAAGAAGGTCAGATGCTTGCCAGAACATCTCTGCAAATCTTCCTTGATGCTGTTGAT